ACAATTTTCAAAAATTCTGGAAAAACTCTTTAATAACAGATTAGATACATTTATTGACAAACATAAAATCTTATCTGATTGTCAATATGGTTTTAGGTCGAACCGATCGACATCTTTGGCCATTACCGACCTGATGGAGGACATTACAAGTGCTATGGATGAGAAGAAATATACGATGGGGATATTTATTGACCTAAAAAAAGCATTTGACACAATCAATCATGAATTATTAATGGACAAGTTAGAAAAATATGGGGTCAGAGGAATGGTTCTGAAATGGGTTAGAAGTTAGTTACCCAATTTGTGAAGTTGGGTGAATACCAATCGAGGGGGCTGGATATTGTATGTGGAGTACCTCAGGGTTCTGTTTTGGGACCTAAATTATTTATATTATACATTAATGATATATGCAAGGTTTCTGATTTAGTAAAAGTGGTATTATTTGCTGATGACACTACCATATGGGCATCGGGTGAAAACCTACAGCAACTCTCTGGACGGGTTTCACAGGAACTTGAGAAGATAAAGAAATGGTGTGATAGTAATATACTATCTCTGAATTTGGATAAAACTAAATTTATGGTATTTGGGAATCATAGACTAGATAATGAACTTCAATTGAAAATTAATGTTTTGATTTAGTGGGATATAAGACTGCAGTGTTTATGTATAAAGCCAGGAGCAATTTATTACCTGGTGGAATTCAAAAACTATTTAATGAAAGGGAAGGGGGATACAATTTAAGGGGTCAGTTAAATTTAAAAATTCATGCTATACGTACAACCAAAAAAAGATTTTGTATTTCCATAAGTGGGGTAAAACTATGGAATAATTTAAGTGTGGACATAAAAAACAGTACAGTACTAGAATTGATGAGTTTAAACATAAATATAAAGGTATGTGTCAATCAAGATATATGCAAGAACAGGCTTAATGATTAATTAGATGGAACATTGTGGGTGTGGTGTATGAATGTTAACACCTTGTATTAATTCTTTAGTATGTTACTTGTGTGGTGTAGAAGATAATTATTTAAGAATGTAATTATGTAAGAATGTTAACACTCTGTTATAATTTTTTTAGTATATTACTTGTGTGGTGTAGAAGAGAATTATTTATGTAGAGATACTGCTTGCAAACCAATGATGGTAAGATGATGTCATGGGGTAGGACTGGATAAGTCTGACTTCTTCCTACTCCATTCAAGCATGTACTAGGTATAAGCAAATTGATATTGGATTAGCATTTGTTGGATATGTGTAAAATTATGTGTGCTGGCATATCAACTGTCTTTACATGCTTGAAAGGATAAATAAATCAAAATCAAAATCAAATCAAACTCTCAGGAGTCATGGTAAAATTTAGCAATGACTCAGCAGTCTGCTCCTGATGTTAGACACAGGTCAGCTGCAAGACTTCAGTTTAGAGCAGAACTAACAGGCAATATAATTTAAAGGTGGACTACAAACTGTTCCACCTCCCAACAGAGAGGGGATATGGGTGGGTTACAGCAGACTACAACAAACTGCACACATTACTGTGTGCATATAAACACTGTCCTAGTGGCCCCTGCTCCACCTCACTCTCCATCTTCATCCTCATACTCCAAGTCCCAGTGTGTGTTCTTGAATTTTCCCACATCCTGTCTTATCTAACCTGACCTCTGTTCTCATTTAAATTCCCTTATTTAGAGATCACCTGCTTGCTATTTCTAATGCCGTCACAAAGAATACCTAGAGGAGCTTTTCTTTACAAATTTGCCAAAGGTTCTATCATGTTCCGGCCTCATCTGATTCACTCACCTGACTTGACTGACCTCTAACCCTGCTTCTTACTAACTGTAAGCGTTTTACTGATTTTATCTCTTGCTAAAGCTGCTCCATACAAAGCCACTTGGGTCTTGCATTCAGCCACTTTCTACCAGAATATGCACAAAGACTAAAACACATTCTGAAAAAGTTGGCTGTAACTGTGCAAATGTGTATTTGATGTAGCACTGTCTTTAAAGAGCCCATGGCATGTTTTTTCTTGTTTTCTGACTTATCTACAGTGTTACAACGATGACCTGAAGCTAAAAAAAATGACTGTTACTTCTATGCAGAAGCAAGAGGCTCTACGTTCAGTAGATCAACAGATTAGTTCAACTTTTGTTTGTTGGTCCTTGACATGAGAAACTGTCAAATCAGAGATACAGTATGTCACCCTGGATGAAACTAACTTTATTGTAGTTCTTGATAATGACACTGATTGGTCACAAAACAATATGTACTTTAAAGTGACCTGCATGTATGCCTTGTGATGCAGGAAAACAGCATTCCTCCTTACTCAATTCTACATCTCTTCCATAATAAACTTCAGATTAAGGCAATTTCACGTTATCTTACTCTGTGTATAAACATGTTTATCTTTGCTATGCCATATGGCAGGTAAGAAGGTGGTCATGTTATTAGCACTACTGAACATATTAATAAGGCAGCACAAGTGAGGTTTTAAGTTCTAAAGTGTCTAAACCCTCTGTTGCACAATCACTGTTCACCCTAATGGGCCTGTTTTGATGTTCAGCATCAAAATTTACCCATATACTAACACACAGTTTGTGGTATAGGTAAAGCATGTGAACTTAGGGCGCAACCAGCTGCACAAGGCTAAATACTTCCTGTAACCACAAACCACTCACATACACATATACAAACAGATATCGCGATAAGGAAGTGAGCCCCACCCAGGGCCATTTAAAGGTGCTGCAGATGCTGGTGAGTGTGTTCTATATTTAAGAGCCGCAGTATATTTAAGTCAACTGAAAATTTCTCATAATTAACTGGTAGCTGTAGTGACTTTTACCAGTAGTGATATGTCACATAAGCAGCTGGTGGATTTACTTATTCACCGAACTTACTGCCAGTATATATGCATGCAAACAATCCCCTGTGGAAACATGACAATAGACTTAAATCAGTATCACAGTTGGCAGTTCATCCATGCATGCAACAAACACCTGCTGAAATGGAAAAGATGCACAGAAAAGCATCATGGGAGTGCTCACCTTGTACACCTGACCGTATGTTCCGTTGCCAACCACCTCCACCAGCTCAAAGATGCCTGCTGGATCCTAATAAAAAAGATAAATCAATAACATGATCAAGTTAAAGAAAACAGGACTAGATAAGAGTGATGTCAAGTAGCAAGCTGAACATGAGACACGGCAACAGTACAGAGAATGGTACATTTCAGCAAAGTCATAGAGCAAGAAGTTCATGCCAAGCAAAACTATGGCAAACAGCTGTATAATCAGATACTAAAGACAAATGAAGCAAAGCAATGCAGTGTTAAACAGGCATGGAGACTGAGGAAGTGGGGCTACAAACTTGGAGCTACAAGGAATGAAAACACAAACTGAAACTCCCTGAAAATGTACTTAATATTTTATTTTATTTTATAGGTCATAGCTTCACTGTCCATAGACATATTATCAACTAAAAACGATACAACATCCGCATTCTTGATGTGTACACAATGTAAGAAAATATTGTAGGCTTAATCTTTAAAACTCAATAAAATGGCCTAAAACTATCCACTAACTATTGTAAATTCCGTTAAAACATCAAGCTTTTTAAATGAAATATAGTTACACACTGTTTATTTAATATGGGCTTTCATGACGTTGACCACTTGTTGCATGGTGGCTTGTCAACCTTTTAGTAAGACTGTCAGAGGAAAACTGCCTGTAATGACTGGAGCTCGTAAACGTCCCCCAAACAGGACGCAGTGCAGACAGAAAGCATAACGTTAACAGTTACAGGATAAAGCACGAGACACGATTCGAGTTTTAATACACGACACAAGTTTCTCAAACTGTACGTAAAGTTAGTGCTGACATTCAGACAAAAAAAAAGTCAGTGCTCACTATATTGTTGCTTCAAACTACCGCTAACTTTAAAACACCTTCCACATCTCTTCTTAGCGTTTACAAACAATTCTTAAAAAAGGAAGACAACACATGACTACTTACTCTTAAAGCAGCCAGGTCTATACTGTCTAAACTCCGAGTGGTGTTTTCTCTCGACATTGCTGTCAATAACTTTTTCAGCCTGTTTATGTTTGTAGACAAGGCATGGACGGTCACCGTTTCTCCGCTACTAACTAACGGGATTTCTTCTCCTCGGGTCCATTCTCAAGTTTAGCTAACAGCGTCAAGTGAGGAAGCGTAAAACACACTTCCGGGTGCACCTTCACAGTAACTCCCTTTATCGGCAGACGCTCAGGTGGCTTGATTTGCAACTTTAATTATGTGTTATTGAGAACACTATAAAAAAAACTGGACATATCAAAAATGTGATATAAAGTCATACAATTGTCAACTTTCTGTTAATATTTAGATCCTTACTGGTTTTTGTATTTATTCTCTCAGGCCCCTCACAGGTTAACCACTTCACAGCTTCAATTATGAAGTTAACATCACCCTGCTTCCGGTTGCATTAACTTCGCTTCACTTGAGTGACAATGACGTGTTTTGCTCCTAAAAAGTGTTGTCAGGCCGAAAATGGTGAAATGCACACAACAGCCTTACCATGTCTATTCGTATCTGTATGAGCTAAGTGTGTTTTTGAAGTGAAAAGTTCACAGTCCTCGGGTTATGCTCAGAGAATATCACTGTCTTCTTTGCAAATAGAGATGTGATAAGTAAATTAATAACATAACCAAATTATTTTTGAGTATAAACTCAAAGAAAGTGCATACACTCAAACACAGGAGCTAACAGTGTCACTATACTGAACACATTTACTGACATTATTTTACAGTCTACCTTTGCTTTCTCTGGCCATTTGCAGGCTTCATTATGTATCTCACTGACCTAAAGGTTTTCATCTTAAGGAGGTAACCTATTGCTGTTATTTTACCTTATCTTGAAATACTTTCATCATAAAACATGGAAATAAACAGTATAAATCAAAATAGGCTATCTGTGACAGTTTCCATTGTCAATTAAATATTAGCAGCTTATTATGTATTCAAAATAGCAGAGGAAAAAAGAACCACAAAGTGTTTTCTAATGTTCCAAAGGTGTGACTTTATATTAAACAAATTTTTTTTAAATGAATTAATAAATTAAATAAATATAAACGTGTTGCTTGCTATAGTAAACAACACCTGTTGGAGACCAAACTGCCAGGTTTGCTTGAGGACTTTGGGTAATTCCAGGTTCTCTTATTTGATGCTTCTTGCTCCTCAGTCCTTCTTCATGTCTTTTCTTTGTATAAGTCCCACCCACTAAAGATGCAAGGAGGAAGCATTATTAACGACATAAGACATCCTGTATTCCTATCCTTCAGCTGAAGCATCCAATCACCAAATGATTTCAGATAAAGGGACATATTGCTCCAAAAATATTCTGCGAAGGATGTTCTCATGTATCCTCCTCCTCCAGCTGCCTTAATCAATCCTTGATCCTCACTCCTCAGAGCCAATATGAGAGACCTGGAATGTCCTCTGTCCTCCGCCAACAGGAACTACTTCTTTGTACTGGATGACTTGTAGTGACCTCTGCATTTATTTGCTCTTATCCCCAAGTCCTTGATACATTTTTAAGCATGCTGGCATGCTTTTAAAACATATGTGGACATAGTCTTATGAGGTGTAATGTTTTTCTTCTAAAAATAAGAAATGAACAATTATCTTGCACCCTCTGCATGTGTGTGTAAGTGAATGTGACAAACTGAAGAGTGAGAGAGGGAGGGGAGAGGATGGCTGTGAGTGTATATTAGTTTTACCTACTGCATTTATTTATGTGTCAAATGTATTGGAGTGATGGAGCTTGCCACTCCAGTCTCCCAACTGAATCAATGAGTCAGAGTCAGCATAGTGAAATAAGCATTGCTATACAGTCACTGGGTGTGTGTGTCTGTGGAAAGAAAGAAACAAAAAGAGTTTGACTATCCTAGGACTCTGTGTTTGTGTGTGTGTAGGACAATGAGAGAAAGCTGCCAAATGACTCTCTTGCACCCTCTGCATGTGTGTGTAAGTGAATGTGACAAACTGAAGAGTGAGAGAGGGAGGGGAGAGGATGGCTGTGAGTGTGTAGCTGCTATGTGAGTGTGTTTGTCACAGTGAAGAATGGGCTCTCTGTGGTCTCACAGAGTGGCCCTGTTCACACCAGGGTCAGCTGCCTGCACACACTCACACATACACTCAAACGCATACATTTCTGGATCTGTATCCAACTTAAACAAGACAACATTCTGTGAAACAACTGAAAAAGAAAATTCTGGAGTGATTGAGGCCAGTCTGTCTTTCTTCAAGTCTCTACCTTTTCCTTCTTTCTTTGTGTGCATTTTGGTATATTTGCAAACAGGTAACACATAAGGTATTCTGTATCAAAAGGAAGTTGGTACTGCACTTATCTAAACCATTTCCTGAGAGTACTTGCAAGCACACTTACATACAGTACTTACAGTAAATAAACATGGATAAAGCAATGCAAGGAGCTGTAGCCTCAGACTCAAGGAGAAGAGAAACTCTTACTTGACTGTATTTTTGTCAGACTGTATCCTAATGTATACAGTTCACAAACAAGGAACAAATGCCACATCGAAAAGATTGAGACCTATTCACAACAGCCATGGAAAAAAGCGTACTTTCACTATTTCACTAACACTATTCAGTTAAAAGGAGACTATACTCATTGAAAGGAAAAAGGAAACTTGCTTAAAACCAAGAGACTTGGCACATGTCAGGTCCTCAGGAGAACTGATCAAAAGCAGCATCCCAGACCTTTAACTGATATGACAGTAAGTAGACAAGTTGCATTTTTCTACTCGATTAAACCAACATTTAAAGAATACTTAGTCATACTGTGTAAACTTCTAGTTTATTCAGTGAGTGTAATAATCCACGTTTACTTGACAGTGCCATTTTTTTTAAAGGTACACCTGTATTATTTACATAATTGAAATTAGCAGGTACATCAGTAGAGCTTGCCAGTCTTGACTGTATTTCCTGCTTTTGACCAGGGCTTTTAACCCAAATTGCTCCAGTGGGCCTGCTGACTTGCTAATAGGTAAGACTGTGTGTGCACTGGATACCTTCCATATGTGAATGTGTACTTTCTGCGAGCATGAGGCTGAAAGTGTTCCTGAAAAAGATCATTCATGCTTATGTTAAAAATAACTCTTGTCAACAACCCTTGTGCATTAGTACTGAAATGCTGATTCAAAACTGTATTAACTTGAATTGCAGGGTATTTGATCCCATACACAAACAAAACAGACTAGACTGAAAATTCAGACCCCATGTATAACCTCATTACGATTATCATCTGTGGACTCATCTCAAATCATTTGAAGAACACTGCATGAGATCAACCTTTATGGGTGGTACTAAAGGAAAAAAAAAGAAGCAATTTTTCACTAAATGGCACAAAACTGCAGGATTAAACTTTGCCAGAGAACACTGAGGAAGCACATTCGTTGGTCAGATGAAACCAAAAAGCACTTTGGCTCACAAGGATGTGGCCAGGACTACCATTGTGACTGCAAAGTGCCAACCAAAAACTATGGGGTGAGTGGTCTGGGGCTGCATAAGTACAAAAAGTGGAGGGGGGGGGGATGACATTTAAAAATGGACAATAAGTACCACATTTATACCCAAATTCTGGATGAAAATGATTCCCAGCCTGAAGTAGACGACACACTGCAAAAATCAAGTTTTTAAAGATGGGGGGAGAAAAAAAAAAAAAAAAGGTATGTAGTCTTGTTTAAGAGCCTCTGGTGATCATAGTAACTATGACATGTAAAAGGAAGCATTTAGGAAATGTAGGTATACATCCCAAGTCTCTCATACTTGGAGTTTTGCAAGAGCGATGAGCAAGGATACAAGTACATCCTTTGCAGAAGTCTTGTAGATCAACATACCCCTTTATCAGAATGCAGCTGGTGACTGGATGCTTCAAATGAAAAACTGGAGACAGGGCTGTCCCATGTCATTAATGCATTTCCTCTAGTATTGGCTCCTTGCAGATCACACAGGCAGGATTAAGACAAGAAAAAAAAAAAAAGTGAGCTGGTTCTTACAAGAGACTTGGGATGTACCTGTAGTACAATATATAGAGCAATAGGAGGAGGATGGATGATATAAAACACAGGACGTTCCTACAGGTGAGCAGGCTTCAACTCCAGTGTCTTACAACTATCAGTTTAGCTACATTTTGTCACAAACACTAGTTTCATAATTGTTAAGAGCATGTTTGACAGTTTCCATGACAAAATTAAATAAAGCTTGTTTTGACATCAATGGTGGTGGAATTCTCTCAATTACACCTGCCAACACAGGAGCAGTGTTTCAGGAGACGCTCCTAGGGTATGAAGTAAAAACCATACAGGTCAAGCTGGATGAACATCTCGCCACAGGTTTATGCAGACTTTATAGCATACGTGTCCAGGAGGATTGAACCCATCATCAAAAACAAAGATACAAAATAGGAAAGGAGCATAGATTACTATTCCAGCTGGTTCTTAAATATCCTTTTAAACATAGTTTTACTAATGAAACTTTTTCAAATTGACTTCAGCCTGGAAGCCATGTCATGTTTAAACCTGACCCAATTTATGAAAACAGGTATCAAGTTGGTGGTTAGAAATAAGAGCAGTACAATTACTGTACGTTAGTTTAACCTTGCTCTTTGAATGTAGTTTGCCATAAGAGCAATATGTCCTCACGTTAGAGGACATTTGGTTCTTTTGAATATACTGATCAGGAACACCGACCACTGAAGTAAATAACACAAGGATAATCACCTTTATTGGCCAAGTATGTTACACACAAGGAATTCGTTTCCGGTACAGAACCTCATTACAATGGCACCTGTAATGTGTATTGCACGGCAAAGGAACATTCAGTCCTCCAAGTTGTGTTGGAAGCAGGAAAACTGGGCAAGCATAAAGACCTAAGCAATTTTGACAAGGGGCAAGTTGTGATGGCTAGACAACTGGGTCAGAACATCTTCCAAACAGGTCTTGCTGGGGGTCCCCAGTCTACAGTGGTAATACTTATAAAAAGTGATAAGGATAGAGCATGAACTAGCAACAGTCATGGGCATCCAAGGCTCAATGATGCTTGTGAAGGCTTGGCCAAGTTGTCCAATCCCAGAGAAGAGCATGTCCTTGATTGATCAAGTTCTGGAACACTGGTATGACCGAGTACTCAG